CAACCAAGTAGATGGAATGACTTCGCCAAATAATGTTAACCAGGCTTTGTTGCTGGCACCCCAATGCTGGCAAAGTGATCATATGAATGGAGGAGCCACAGTAGAGCTAATGTAAGTGTTCAACGTCATGGACTCATCAAGTCTGATCTAACTACTGCATCAGTGAATGTCCAGCTTGCCAGCAACAGAGACTAACACTTAGCCTGATGTCACCATTCGTCAAGGAAACCATCCAGCCACTTGGTGGTAAGTTGATTACACTGTATCCTTGCTACCTTGGAAGGGGAAGTGTTCTATATTGAAGGGGCATTGATGCATATTATGGGTATCGGTTTGCCTTTCCTGCCTGCACAGACTCGGTCAGCAACACCATCCAAAGGTTTACAAAATTTTGATCCATTGGCCTGAAATCTTGTGTAGCATTGCATCAAACCAAGAGACCCACTTGATAGCAAGGAGGTAGAATGCTGGGTACGTGATGGTGGGATCGGCTTTAATCACATACCATACTATGCAGAAGCTGCTCCCTGATAGAGTGCTTTCTTGTGGGAAGGCAGGGACCCCAACAGAGGAAGCCATGGCAGAAGAACATAAATTGTGAAGATTTCATGGACATTTGTCCATTTGTCACTTCCGCAATCAATACTCTTGTGATTTCCTATGCCTGTCTTTATTTTAATCTCTTAATCCCGTCATCTTCGTAAGCTGAGGACATATGTTGCCTCAGGACCCTGTGACGATTGCGTTAACTGCACAAATTGTTTGTAAAACACGTGTGTTTAAACAATATGAAATCTGGGCACCTTGAAATAAGAACAGGATAACAGTGATGTTCAGGGAACAAGGGAGATAACCATCAGGTCTGACTGCCTGAGAGCTGGGCGGAACAGAGCCATATTTCTCTTCTTACAAAAGTGAGTAGGAGAAATATTGCTGAATTCTTTTTCTCAGCAAGGAACAGCCCTGAGAAAGAGAATGCGTTCCTAGGGCGAGGTCTCTACAATGGCCACTCTGGGAGTCTGTCTTATACGGTTGCAGATAAGGGATGAAATAAGCCCCGGTTTCCCGTGGTGCTACCAGGCCTATTAGGATGAGGAAATTCCCGCCTAGTAAATTTTAGTCAGACCGGTTGTCTGCTCTCAAACCCTGTCTCCTAATAAGATGTTATCAATGACAATGCATGCCCAAAACTTCATTGGCAATTTTAATTTCACCCTGGTGCTCTGCCCCCATTTGCCTTGTGATATTTTATTGCCTTGTGAAGCATGTGATCTCTGTGACCCACACCCTATTCGTACACTCCCTCCCCTTTGAAAATCACTAATAAAAACTTGCTGGTTTTACGGCTCAGGGGGCACCATGGAAAATGCCGACATGTGATGTCTCCCCCAGACACCCAGCTTTAAAATTTCTCTCTTTTGCACTCTTTCCCTTTATTTCTCAGACTGGCCAACACTTAGGGAAATAGAAAAGAACCTACGTTGAATTATCAGGGGTGGTTCCCCCTATAGTGCTTGTTAAAAGCACAGCTAAGGCACCAGATTGGAGATGATACCTTGTAAGGAGGAGGCATCATCCTTCATGATGCAGTACATACCCGACCGAGACCGATTGCCATTGAATAGTGTATCCTTAAGGAAAAAGTATGGCTCTGGGGAACAAAGGGTGGGTGTAGGAGCAGCCCACCATTATCATCACTCCCAGTGATCCAATTGGAGAAACTGTGCCTTCTATCCCAACTCTGGTCTCTAAGGGTTTAGAAGTCCTGGTTCCCAGAAGGGGAATATTTGCACCAGTGGACACACTGAGTCTCACTAAACTTTAAGCTATGGCAGGCACCAGATTACTCCAACTCACTACCAAGAGACAAGAAAGCAAGGAAAGGAGTCATTATCAGGAGGTGGGGCTGCTATTACACAGTGGGGACAGGGAAGAATATATTTGGCACCCAGATCATCCACTTGAGTATGTTTCTCCTTGCCCAATTTTGATGATAAATGAACAAGTGCAGTCATAGCCTGAGAAGGGCATGATAGCCAGGTACCTCATCTGGTAACCCCCATGAACCAGAGGTACAAGTCTCAGGGAGTTAGGGAAAGATTAACAATGGGTAGTAGAGAAGGGAGGTGAATGCCAGTTGCAAACTCAAGCTACAGCAGCAGAGGCTGTGGCCTGTCCCAGACCTTCCTCTTTTAAGTTTCCCCAGAAAGAGATCCATCAGAATCCTGAAGAAACCATTCCAGAACTAATGAAACAAATCAGTCTGAGCAGTGCAAGGGGTGGACTGTAGTGTTGACTGCAGTGTGCTGCCCAAATCTTCCCTTTCAGGACTGAAGCTGCTATGAATGCTGACAGCCGTCACCTATGCCCCATTCGGGGCCTGCCTTTGGCTGAAGTCAGCCAACTCACTCAAGATCATACCCCTTTCCTGGTCAAGTAGGGAGATAAGGTCCAGCCTATTTGTCCTATTAGGGCATCCGGCAGAGCCATCCTAGTTTGAGTTCCTGGTTGACTGAGGTATTTGTTAAGACTGCATCAGCTCAATTTCTCCCTCTACCCAATTCTACTGCCTTTACTCCCCAACAGGTGTTGATGCAGATAACTCCTCCCAATAAACTTCCTGCACATGAATCTCCAGCACAGTGTTTTTGCCAAGAACGCAACCTGTGGCAGGCATTTAAATGCTTTTTAAGGTTAGCTGTATTAAATGTGTGCCTGTTGCTCAATTTCAGAGAGCTTCATGATGGTCATGTTGAGAGATGCTGTGTTTAATGAGCCTACCATTTCAAGGACAATAGGAATGGGGATCACTGAAATGGCAAATTTCAGTGGGCTTGGGGCTCATGATGAGGCTGCAGGTCCTCCCCAAACCTCAGGAGCGTGTACAGGATGGCAGAACTCTATGCTTCAGTTTGGGGGTTAATTCTGGGTGTCCCCAACACACTAGGGATTAACTGGGGTATGGAAGTGTATGCATCTGCTTCAATCTAGATTAGCGTTTCCTAAATGCTGGGGTATCTGCAAGTTAATGGAGGCTCAAACCTTTCAGGAAGTTCTGTTAAATCCAAGACTGAGTGTGCCTACCAAAAGCAGCCAACCATCTTTCAAAACAAGAGGGTCCTGCTGGGAGATACTGGCAATGAGAAGTTCCTATAGGACCATAAGATCAGTCTGCAGCTGGGCGCGGTGGCTCATGCCTGTAATCCTAGCACTTTGGAAGGCTGAGGTGGGTGGATCACCTGAGGTCAGGAGTTCAATACCAGCCTGGCCAACATGGTGAGACCCCATCTCCACTAAAAAAATACAAAATTAGCTGGGTGTGGTGGCAGGCACCTGTAATCCCAGCTATTCGGGAGGCTGAGGCAGGAGAATTGCTTGAACTTGGGAGGTGGAGATTACAGTGAGCTGAGACTGTGCCATTGCACTCCAGCCTGGGCAACGAGAGAGAAACTCCATCTCTAAAAAAAGAAAATCAGTTTTGGCGTCAATATACCTTTATAGGCCGAGGGCACCTATATTTACACTGATTGCCCCTTCATTGGTAACGTCTCCATCTGAGGGTGGATCCTGTCTGCATGGTGACCAAGATAAGAGATGCAAAAGATCAACATCATCCACCAAGATTATTTCCACTACATGTATAAGTACAGTTGCTTCAAGAAGCACAAGAACATGTTCATGCACCCATCCCCTTGCATCAGGGATGTCCAGATCAGCAACATCATCATGGTTGGGTAAGCACCAGCATGAGCAAGATGGTGCACTTCAACATGCTCATGGTCCCCAGTGCCACTAAGAAGCAATTCCAGTTCTGAGTCTGGATGCCTGCCTACTCCCTAATATGAAATAATGTTATTTTCCTATTAAAAAAAAAAAAAGGTGAGGAGGGGAGAAATGCTAAATTTCAGATAGTGCCAGTGCCAGACTTGAGTTATAGAGCTCTGTCAAGTATGAAGTTGGCTATAGTTATCAGTGCAACTATTGATGACAGACTTTCTCATTAGCTGAGAAGGGATGAAAGTGAATGGAAGTGCTTAACTGACTCAGAGTGGTAGATGAGCTCAAATAGGAAAGAAACCAACATCTGGTATGGTATGGATAGCAAAGGAGTCAATGATCCCATCTACTACCCTAAACTGAATGACCTCACATTGTATTTGAGTGACCTTGGCACAATCCACCTGAAAATGAATGTTCTTTTTTCTACTAATGAAACTCTGAACTTATAGAAAACTATTTACTTTCAGGCCAGGCGTGGTGGCTCATGCCTGTAATCCCAGCACTTTGGGAGGCTGAGGTGGGTGGATCATGAGGTCAGGAGTTTGAGACCAGCCTGGTCAATATGGTGAAACCCTGTCTCTAGTAAAAATATAAAAAATTAGCTGGGTGCTGCGGCACATGCCTGTAGTCCCAGCTACTTGGGAGGCTGAGGCAGGAGAATCACTTGAACCTGGAAGGTTGCAGTGAGCGGAGATCATGCCACTGCACTCCAGGCTGGGCAACAAAGCGAGACTCCGTCTCAAAAAAGAAAAAAAAAAAAAGAAAGAAAACTATCTACTTTCCTTATCTCCCATCAAGACATCCATTCATCCATTCCAGAGTTACCTCACGACTAGCTCCCTATCTTAATCTTGGTCAAGGAAATTAAGGTAATTTCTTTTTCAGAATTTTGGGAGCTGGTTCAAGGAACAAGGTTCCCTTTTAAAGCTTCTTTCATCCCAGCTTTCCAACAATTACCCTTAGGCCTTATTCAGGTCTTAGAGAAGTAGAATCCATTGTGCTTATTCACACTGATGACTACATCAATATATCTAAGAAGAGTAAGTGTTAAGACCAAACACATCATCAACTTGTTCAGCACAATTTGTTCATACCACAGTAACTGTGGGATGAAGTCTAAGATACTCTCTTCTTTCCTTTGTAGCAGCAAACCTCTGTGGCTCAAGGAAGTATGTCAGTTGGATGTCCTGTCCCATCTACTCAAGACCAATAAACAACACTTAAAAAGAACATAATCTCTTTATGTCTGCTTGGGATACAAATGTTCAGTTTGGATGATGAGAATGTGGCAAGTACTGGAGACAATGGCTGGTTCTTCTGTTTGTCCCAATAAACTCCAATGGAGAAAGAAGCTAAACAGGTTTTGGATAGTTTCGGTCTATTGTATCTGGCTTATCAAATCTACAGCCTGGTACTTCTGGAACAAGACTGCCCCAGCGACGATAGTTAAAGATGGCGAAAATGAAGAATTCAACATGTATACGCAGTGCAGTCTGATGTCTTCAGATGTTCTCTAAAATTCTGCATTTGGTCAGAACCGGGAGTGAGATCAAAGTGCTTGCCCATTTCTGCTCCACTGCTCCTGATTCTGCTTTGCTGTCTTGGAGGGAGAGATTTAGATCTGGGGGCTGGTGGGGGCCATGCGCTTGGCAGTTTGCTGAGCTAACCAGTACTTATACCTTTTGGTCTTGGGCTTCTCAAAGTTCACCACAGACATAGGCACTCTTATAGTATCAAGCCCATTTACCTGCACACAAAACAATGGAAATTCTCAGAGATCAGTCAGGTAGGTAAGAATTAACACTACCTAATCCCAGCTTTTCACCCTGACTTTTCTCCCAGTCAGAAAAAGGAGAGCTAGGGCTGGGCACAGTGGCTCATGCCTGTAATCCCAGCACTTTGGGAGGCTGAGGCGGATGGATCACCTGAGGTCAGGAGTTTGAGGCCAGCCTGGCCAACATGGAGAAACCCTGTCTCTAAAATACAAAAATTAGCCGGGTATGGTGGCATATGCCTGTAATCCCAGCTACTAGGGGGGCTGAGGCAGAAGGATCGCTTGAACCTGGGAGGTGGAGGTTGCAGCGATGCAGCGAGCTGAGATTATGCCACTGCACTCTAGCCTGGGCAACAGAGTGAGACTCCATCTCAAAAAAAAAAAAAAAAAAGAGAAAAAGAAAAAAGGGAGAGCTAGGTGCCAGGTGCGGTGGCAAATGCCTGTAGTCCTAGCTAGCTACCTGGGAGGCTGAGGTGGGAGGATCACTTGAACCCAGGAGTTTGAATCCAGCCTGGGCAATGAAACAAAACCCTGTCTTGGGAAAGAAAAAGGAAAAAAAGGAAAAAGGGGGTGAAAAAGGAGAAAGAAAAGAAGAAAAGAAAGTATGCAAAACACTCACCGTCACCTCACACCAATACTCGCCCCACCGTGTGATAGGCTCTTCTGGTAACTTTAATGTATGTGGGGCAACCACAACACCAAGCTGGAAAAAAAAAAAAAATCTCAGCTCAAATGAACTGTTTTCGTGACTGCCACTTTAGGTAACCTCATAAAGAGGGTTACAGGATTTCCTGCACAGGGATGAATAAAACTGGGGTGTCTACTCTGGCTGATTCCATGGGAGAGAAGGGCATACACCTTCATAGACAGTAGTAGAGAAATTCAATTCTGATTTCTCAGAAAGGGAGGTAGATTCACAGAGAAACAGGGTTTGAGGCCAAAACCACTTCATCTACAGAAGTAACAATTCTCCAGTGAGTCACAAATCCCCAGCATTTCCCTAGGTAGACAGGAAATAAATGGAAACCATCACCTTTTCCTACCAATCTTCAATTCTATGTGACCATCCTCAGTCCTTAGCCATTTCCTTCCCACACGCCTGCAAACCAACCAAAAATACTTTCCCTAACTACAGCTGGATGGTCACACCCCTCCCTAACAAAGGGATCAATCTCAGGCCTCCTTCCCAGAGACAGCTTCCACCTCAGGGGTAGAGTGGTTTTTGGGAACACTCACATTCTTGAAGAAGTGGCGGGCAACTATTTCAGGGTTCAGCTCCCATTTGACATTGTTCTTCATTCCTACCTCCAGGCGACAGCTTTTTAGAAATTTCACTGTCTGAAAGGAATTATGAGTTGGAGTCAAAGGAGAGGAAACATGTCAGGTCACAAGGTATGCAAGCCAAGCACAATGGCTCACGCCTGAAATCCCAGCACTTTGGAAGGCCAAGGTGGGTGGATCACTTCAGCCCAGGAGTTTGAGACCGGCATGGCCAACATGGTGAAACCCCGTCTCTACCAAAAATACAAAAATTAGCTGGGTATAGTGGTGGGCGCCTGTACTGATTATCTTCTCATGTGTCTATGTTCTCTCCAACTTGTACATAAATATCCTTGAAGGTGGAGGCCTCATCTCAGACTATTCCATGGGTTCCCTGATTCCCAGATTGGGACCTCCCTTGGTACTTTAGGGCACTTCACCCAACACATCAGGGATCTCCCAAGAGGTCTCCATACCGGTTTTGTGGGGCAGCCACAACACTTCCCCTTTCTCCTACTCTTGGATCTGCCTGCAATCAGGAGACCTCAAGGGAATCAGGAAGACTCTCAGGGTGAGGTTGTTAAGTCTTGTAAGTGATCAATAAATACTTTTTACGTTTCTACTCACCGCTTCACCTGCCTTGGTCTGGAGCTTCTCTAATTTTCCTTCTTGTCTCAGCTAGAAAAGAAAGTTAAAGATGAAAAGCAGTAAGAGAAAAATGAACCCATGTTAAATAGCATCAAACTATTCCCATGCTGGGCATTGGCTGGGCTTCTGGATTCCTGTTCTTCTAGTTCCTATTTCATTTTCAAGTTAAATATCAAAGGGAAGGAAGCTGCGAGAGAAAAGTTGTTTTATCTCTCCAAGTCTCTGTCCTTCCTTTGAGCTCACCGATTTCTCCTCTTCAAACAGCTTCTTGTTTTCAGGGGTTGCATATACAGCCAGTCCCTGAGGAAGGAGTCCATTCCGGCCCAAAGATTTCCTCACTGACACCAGGTCACCCCGGACTCCAATATCTGTCAATGAGAACAGAGAGAGGGGATTAGAACCATCTAGGAGTCCCCTAAAGAAAAGATGATCAAAGAGAGAAGCACCTCTTTCTCACAGTGCTTATTTTTCCTAAAAGAAATGCTAATTCATATTCACTAGAAACAAGATTTAAGAGACTGCTAATTACTTTACGACTTGATGTATAAATTTAATATCCCCTGTATACAGGGAGGAGTTGTCCCATGAGAGGATGTCAGTATCTGTGGCACAAATTGTCAGGCTCCTCTCCCCACACCCTGTTAACGATGTTGCTTGCTGTCTTTATGTTTTAATTTTCAATGCTGGAGGCCAATGTCACAATCACAATAGTTTTTATGGCTTCCTATTCTCACATACAGAGCTGATTATTTCCACAAAGAAAAAACAAGGCAAATAGTTGAGGCGGACAGGCAGGAAAAAGCTGATGCCAAATTGGACCCGCCTCAGAGGAGGAGCCTCGGCCCGGGCCTTACTCTCCACCGACTGCGTGAGGATGAGCTCCAGGTTTTCCTTGGGCCGATGCTTCGTGTCCTCCACCAGCTTATAGACGCGATGTCGCCGGTGCAGGCGCGGCTTCCGGCCCTCCCCGGCCAGCGGTACCTTCCACCAGCGCTCCACGATGACCGTGCCCTGGCGGCCAGGAAAGCGACGGTGAGCTAGTCTCCACAAGGAACACCGTCTCCCTCCCTCCACCACGGCCGCCAGCCCTTAAAGGAAAGCCCGCCACCCCCACATCGGCCCCCTCCAGGTCCCAGTGAGCCTCCAGGAACAATACTCGAGCGTTATCTACCCCCTACCCCAGACTCGGCCCTCACCCGATTTTGAGAGACGCTGAAGTCGCGCGCCAGGCCAGGGGAGTTCCCTTCATGTCGCGGCCGCAGTAGCTCCTGGATACCTCCCCGCAGCAGCCGCTCAGTGCCCGCCCGTAGCAGAGCTCTGCCCGGAGCCGTGACCACGAGCGCCGCCATGTTCGCAGGCACAGAATGAGACCTAAGGGAGGACCCCAGCGTCGGGCAGCAGGAAAGGCCCCCGCCAGGGCTGCCTGCGGCGCGCCGGGGCGGCTTTGGTCTGGGCTGAGCTGGTGGATGGGGAGTGGGCCGGGGGACAGATGGCAGTGCGGCTTGCCTATTTTTTCTTTTTGGCAGAGGGGAGGGACGCCCAGAAACTGACTGATAATGGAATGTGTTAGGTGGACTGACGCCGGAAAAGACGCTCTTCCTCTGGAAAGTGTGGGCTTTGCTTTAGCTCTAGTTGCTGGGGTAACTTTTAATTCTGACGTTTTGTGATGACTGGTTACTGACGGGAGAATGAATGATGCTCTCACTTTTCCTTACTTCAAATCTACCTAAAAGTAGTAAAGGATGGCATCCCTTGGAAAATTCTGCCAGCTCCAGGAAGAGCCTAACCCTTAATCATTACACTGCAGTATTTAAGCTAATAAAGGAGAATTCTAAATTACAAGCTGTGTAAGCCATAGAAAAAAAGCAACTATGGTAGGGCCCCGACAGTTCCCTCTGGGGAGGGTCTCAGTACTGGACAGAAGACCATAAAAATTGGATGAAAGAAGGTCCGTTTGGCAGAGATTATGGAAAGACTGGCCCTTAAACATACTGACCAGTCCTCCTTCCTGCTAAATACACTTTACGTGGCCTCCGGGACACCGGTCTTCTTCAGTCTCCTCTGCTGATTTCTCATTTTCTCCCTGCTTCTTAGAATGCCCCCGGGACGGCCGGGGGCGGTGGCTCAAAGGGAGGCCGAGACGGGCGGATCACGAGGTCAGGAGATCGAGACTATCCTGGCTAACACGGTGAAACCCCGTCTCTACTAAAAAATACAAAAAAAAAAAAAAAAAAAAAAAACCTAGCCGGGCTCGGTGGCGGGCGCCTGTAGTCCCAGCTACTCGGGAGGCTGAGGCAGGAGAATGGCGTGAACCCGGGAGGCGGAGCTTGCAGTGAACCAAGATCGCGCTACTGCACGATCTGCCTGGGCGACAGAGCGAGACTCCGTCTCAAAAAAACAAAAAACAAAAAACAAAAAACAAAAAACAAAGCCCCCGGGACTCCGTTTTTGAACCTTTACTCTTCTCAGTATACAGTCACTGTTGATCTCATCCAGTCTCGTGGCTTACAATACCATTTATATGCCAGTGACTCCCAAATTTCTAGTTCCATCCTAGACATCTCCCAAACTCGTCTCAAATATTCAACTGTTATTCGTCATTTTCCTCTTATGTATCTAAAGGACACTTCAAAGTTAACTGTCCTAATTTATTTAAGGCCCCCCCCGTCCCCAAAACTGCCCCATTTGCAGCCTTTCTCCTCTCAGTTGACAGAAACTCCATTCTTTCCATTCTAACTCTTTTCCCTCATACTCCATCAGGAAATCCTGTGGGTTCTACCTTTAAATTACAGATAGTCCCTGACTTGGATTTACAATTTTTCAGTTTGTGATGGTGTGAAGGTGATGTGCACTCAGTAGGACATCAATAAGTTACATGAAATATTCAACACTTTATTATAAAATAGGCTTTGTGTTAGATGATTTTACCCAACTGTCGGCTAAGTTGTCTGAGCATGTTTAAGGTAGGCTAGGCTAAGCTATGGTGTTTGGTAGGTGTATTATATGCATTTTCAACTTATGATACTTTCAACATACGATGGGTTTATCAGGACAGAGCCCTATTGTAAGTCAAGGAGCACTTGTATTTCCAGAATCCAACCATTTGTCACCACCTCCAATGCTCTACCCTGGAATAAGACACGACTTTCTCCTGGATTACTGTAATAGTCCCCTAAAAGATATCCCTTCATTCTCTACAGTTTATAATTCTCTGTAGCTTATTTATAGCAGCCAGAATGATCTTTTTAAAGCATAAGTCAGATCATATCATTCTTCCACCCAAAACTTTGTAATGACTTCCTCCTTTACTCAAGGTAAAAGAAAAAGGCCATCAAATGGTCTACAAGGCCATACGTAATCTCACCCCATTAGCTCCTCTGTAGTTTACACTGCTCCACCCACAGTGGCCTCCTTGTTTCTTGAAAACAGCAGGCACATTTCCTGCTCAGGGCTTTTGCACTGGCTGCTTCTGCATTGGATGCTCTTATCCTCAGATGCTGGCTTGGTTAACAACCTCACATCCTCCAAGTGTTTAAATGTCAGTTTTTTTCAATGAGAGATCACCCTATTTGTTATTGTAACCCTGACCCATCCCCTTCATGTTCCTTATCTTCCTTTATCTTGCTCTATTCCCCCCATCCCATAGCAGTTACCTTCTAACATACTAAATAATTTACTATGTTTATTTTTCTAGGGTTGTCCTCTCACTTTTGGAAGATATGCTCCTTAGGGCAGGGATTTGTTTTGTTCATTGATGTATCTCAAGCACCTAGAATAGTGCCTGGCTCATAATAGACCCTCGATAAATATTTGTTGAATGGATAAATATGCAGAGGTCTCAAATTGGCAGCCCCAGAACCAAATTTTGCTTACAATGTATCAACCTTTTTTTAGTAGTCGATATTTTTTTAAATTGGAGAAATTTACTACAAAACTCTCTTTCCAGTTTCTGTTCAAAAATCATATGATACAGCACCATCAAGTCTGCATTCCTGCATGGAACTGGATGGAACTGAGTTGTGTGGACTTCCTTTAGATAAGGTGTGAGCTTTCCTATTTTGCTACAGCCCTACCCTGCCACTCCACTAATTTCCATAAGCCGTCTAGGCCCCTGAAGGCATTTAGTTTGCAATTCCTACCCTACAAGGTAGGATTCAACAATCTGTAGCAACCCTGGGTTATTAAGGGTAGGGATAAAAACACTCAACTGGTATGAACTGGGAACCAACTAATCAGGTCACCACTGGATCAGAGCCTTGGAAGACTCCTGCAGTGTCAGATACCAACTCTTTATTTGCTGGATTTTAGGGGAAGGGGAGTGTCCCCAGAGGAGCAGGGTGGGTGGGCACAAGTGCTCAGGCAGGGCTTTTGGCCAACCAGTACAGAAGTCTTCAAGTTCTATTTTTAAATCATTCATACAGCCATAACGTGCATACTAGTCGAATATAAGCCTTAGATAAGGGATTACGGTAGGTGAGCAGCAGAGTGGAGTCCTGAGGTGACATAAGGGCTGATCCCTTGTCCATGTCATAGTGCCCAGCGGGTCACAATGACACCAGGTTGCCTAAACCTCTGCCACCCACCTGTGAACCTCACTTTGCCACAGGGAGGCACTGAACTGAAAAACTGCCTTGTAACAGGTGTCGCCCCTCTGTCTACTCCCTTTCTTATATCAAGAGGGGAAAAACACGTAACTACCTCTACCCGATCTGGTCACCATACGCCTATTACCTTTACTGTTACAAGTACCGGATCACCCTCCGGGAGAAGATGCTGCCTCGTTGTTATAAAAGGTACTTGTTTTCATCTCTATTTGTAGTTGTTTATATAAAATGTAAGGAAAAAGTGTAAGAATTTGAAAGAATTTCCCAAATAGCAAGAAATAACAACAGAATAGGGGGTGGAAAGCTGGCATGGAACTTTAGAATATTTCCATCTGGTTGACCCAGGAACATAGAAACAGGCTGGACAACAGAAAATACAGATCATGCCAGAGCCTGGTACCGTGTATCTAGAAGTTATGTCTTCCCATCTCAGATTCCAAGATAAACTAATTTGGGTCTCCTTCCCAACCAGCATCACTTATAAGGAAGAGGAGGACTTGACACTCCAGCCCCGTTCCTGCCTCCAGTGCTCCTGAGTCCCTAGTAGGCCTCCAGGTGGGCAAAAGCACCGAGCAGGGTAACCACGACCAACTTAAAGAACTGTATTCGGTAAGTGAACTGTGAGCTGGTGCTGTGACAGGGCAGCCCTTTGCTTGCATACCTTGCAGAGGAGCGACATTGGCAAGTTGGAAGATCAATTATAGAGGTAGATGGAATCCTGGAATGCATGTGTAAAAGCTACTTTTTATATAGACAATGGCCCACAGACTATAAAATCAAGGTCATACAGATGGTAGTGAAAATCAGGATGGGAAAAAAGGGAGTGGGGACAAAGGTAGAACGAACTTTATAGGACTTCTGGGACATAAAGCTGTTTAGATGCTACGCAGGATCTGGAATCCAGAACTTGCCCACATATCATATTGCAATAACAAGCCTGGTTGTAATCACGGCATTTTAAATAGAAGAATTTAGAGAAAACCCATATAATGAAAAAAGTGGAAATTATTAGTGAGAAAGGAAGCACATTATAAAGCTTTGTTTAAATCCTAAGCTCTCTGATGTAAACATTTCTAAGTTCCTAAATAGTTATCGTACTCCTGCGTTGAAGTCAGCAGGCAGTAATACTGCCTCAGCTGGATTGTTTGATATAAAGGAGAACTCCATAATAGGCATAGGCTATTAGTTCCTAGGACTAAAGGATATTATTGCATCTTTAAGATCTTGGCTCCGATTCTCCCAGGCTCCCCCAGTCAACGCCCACCTTGCTTCAACGGACACACCCCAATCTGCCTGAGGTCTGATTTGAAGGCTAGAGGAGCATTTTTACTCCTTTTCCAGGCTGGGAACTTGACGGTGCTAGCTACTGATCCCCTGCTCCACCAGGACCCAGTACAGTTAGACTTTCACTTCCGCCTCACCTCCCAAACCTCCGCCCATTGGCACGGCCTTCTCTGTGACCGTCGACTCTTCCTGGATATCCCATATCGGGCCTTGGATCAAGGCAACCGGGAAAGGTGACTGAGCCTGGAAGGGAGAATGGGGAGGGAACAGGTAGGGGATTTCACCCTTCTATCATGTCATAGTACATAGGGCTAATTCTAGAGCTAGATATAAGCAATCCATTCACCTGGCATGCAGACAAGCCTGTGAGCTAAGCCAGGATCTGGGTTTCAAGGGATAAGAGTCCATGGGAAGTTGGACTCAGATCCAGAAATAGTTGAATAACGGGAAGTACTTTCTAACTGTTCATCTCAGTAGTCGTTTCTCTCCAGGCCCCTTCTGTGGCTTACATCCAGTGGTGTGCAATCTCTTGGCTTCAGAGAAAAATCTACCAAAACTAGTTTAACAACTTCCATTTCCTGGCTTGGGTGGGTGGAGGGCAGAAAACAACCAATAAGATTTTTTCTGCTCCAAGTAGGTGTCTTTCTGGATTCTGAGTTGGCCAAACATTTTAACTGTTTTTCTGTGGCTGCTAGTTTGACTGCAACGCTGGAGTACGTGGAAGAGAAGACAAATGTGGACTCCGTGTTTGTGAACTTCCAGAATGATCGGAACGACAGAGGTGGGGATCTGCTGTTCTTCCTTGCTCTTCGTGCTGAGGCAGCTGGATAACTCCTTTTCCTTTATAGGAGACCCTCTTCCCCCATCTTTAAAAATGCACCCTCAGGCATTTCAGGGATTCTTTTCTTCCCACCCACCGCGAAGGAAGTTAAAGTGCCTAGCATTCTGTTCCATCAAGTTACAAGTGGACTCTGAGGAAGCCCCTGCAGGTGGTGTTAGGGGCCAGACTGAAGGAGCACTGGCAAAATTAGAATCCATTCGAAGGATGTGGTCAGCAGGACAAAATGGATCTCAAATATTGAGCACGTACAATGTGAAAGGGTCAGACATAAGGCCAAGGGAATGGGAACATATTTAACCAGATGCCTGGAGCATATGTTACAAAAACCACAGCCTCTTGCCTCACGGAGTTCAAACTCTGTTGGATATAAGACAATGGATGGTGAATAACCATTCATAAGTGATAGCTACTATTTCAGAGTTTACTATGCCATCATTGTATTAGTATATAAGTAGACCTCACCAATCTCTAGTGTTAAGCACTTCATGAACATCTCATTTAATCTTAAATTCTGTGAGGAGGAAGGTTCTATGATTTATAAATGGAAAATTTTATAAATGGGAAACTGAAGTTCTGAAGGACTAACTCACAGAACAAGTGTTAAAGCCAAGGTTAGAGCCTAGGTCTGTTTGACTAAAGCACATCCTATATGCCTGCACTACACTGCTTCCCAGGGCCACTCCCTAGTGGAAGAAATCAAATCTGGGGGCATACATGTATTGAGTTTTAAAGCATGTTCTAATCATTTGTTCTATCCTTTCACAGGTGCCCTGCTGCGGGCCTTCAGCTACATGGGCTTTGAGGTGGTCAGACCAGGTCACCCTGCCCTCCCTCCCTGGGACAATGTCATCTTTATGGTGTATCCCCTTGAAAGGGATGTTGGCCACCTGCCCAGTGAGCCTCCTTGAACGTGCTTATTCCAACGCTTTGAGGGGCTGGAAGCCTTGACACCTGGGAATCAGGGGCCTGAGATGTAATTCAGAACACCTTCCATCCTAGGAATAAAGGGTAGTTGCAATCATCAAGTGTTCACTGTTTCTTGGGTGGGGGCGGGGGTGGGGGGCGGGGGTGGGTAATAGGGTTGGCTGGAGTGGGACATACACCTTACAGAGCTAAACTCACTAAAAAGACCACAGGGACCTGAACTACAGAGGGAAAGTACCCAAGGATTTTTGGTTCCGTTTGCCTTCCTCCATGCCCCAAACCATTTCCTCATTTATTCTAACCATTTACTGAGCACTAATCAGTGAACTCCCTAGTTCAGAAAGACTAAGCTTTGTTGGGCTGTTTTTATCCATATATTTCAGGTGAGGTGCTATAGATGTGGAGAAAACCAGAGAAGACACACAGATCTCTTGGCTTTGGTCCAAGTGGGGGATTCTCAACAGACAGAATAGGTAACATAGAAGAGGGCATTCCAGGGAGCAGGAAAAGTACTGGGTTATACTAGCAGAATGACAACCCATCAGAATGGGCTGTAAACAGGTCAGACTTAAAGGCATATTAAAGAAAAAGACTTTTATACATAGTAACAAACTGCAGGTAAGAATGAGACATTACTCATTTTCCAGGGTAGGAAGGCTTATGATTTATATCAGGGATCTCTATCTTAAGAGTAAAGGTTCCCTAAGGAACTCTGGTAGCACCAACTCCAGGGCTGAGCATGCTTCAGCGAGTTCATTGCAGCCAACTTCTGAAACATCAAATAAATGGAAGTCCCTTAAAGATTCCTCCAAGACTACATGAACTACTTCCCAGAGCTGTTCCTTCACCAGAACCTTTCTGCTAATTGGTACTGAGATTTTTCTTTTTTTTTTTGGAGACAGCATTGGCTGTGTCACACAGGCTGGAGTGCAGTGGTGCAATCTTGGCTCACTCACTGCAACCTCTGCCCCCCGGGCTCAAGCGATCCTCCCACCTCAGCCTCTCAAGTAGCTGGGACCACAGGCACACACCACCACGCCTACTTTTTTGCATTTTTGGTAGAGATGGGGTTTCAGCATGGTGCCAGGCTGGTCTTGAACTCCTGAGCTCAAGCAATCTGCCCGCCTCAGCCTCCCAAGGCTTTGGGATTATAGGTGTGAGCCACCGGTGCCTAATACTGAGATTTTTCTGAGAAAATAAATTTTGAGAATTGTGGTTGTGAGAAAATATAGTTGCCATGTAGTATATAGGTAGACTTCACTAATCCCTAAATTTAAAAGACCTGTGTGAGGCATCCTTACGTGTTAATTTTTAATTTTCTAGTTTATCTTGCTTTATCCTTAAAAAAAGTTCATTTCACTTGCCATTTTTCTACCATCCACATTACTATACATTTATATTTACTTCCAAGCACCTCAAGTACTTCAGGGCTCTCACTGGAGCGTCACAGCACTGTCAGAAATGGAAAGATACTATAAGGAAACACGTTAAAATTTTGGAAACAGTTTACAGTGGAGATCTACTCCTTAAAGATTCCTCCAAGACTCCATGAGCTACTTACCAGAGCTGCTCCTAGAATCCAGGTTTCTCGAATCTTAATCTGGGCCTTTTCTTTTGAATAGTATAGATGGGGTCTTACTCATATAGCCTAAACCTAAATTGGTTCTGGTTCTTAGTGAATTTTTTTGTTTTTTTGAGACAAGGTCTTGCTCTGTTGCCCAGGCTGGCGGTGTGGTGGCATGATCTGGGTTCACTGCAACCTCCGCTTCCCAGGTTCAAGTGATTCTCGTGCCTCAGCCTCCTGAACAGCTGGGATTACAGGTGCCTGCCACCACACCCAGCTAATTTTTCTATTTTTTTTTTTTTTTGGGACAGAGTCCCGCTCTGTCGCACAGGCTAGAGTGTAGTGGCGTGATCTCGGCTCACTGCAAGCTCCGCCTCCTGGGTTCACGCCATTCTCCTGCCTCAGCCTCCCAAGTAGCTGGGATGACAGGTGCATACCACCACGCCCGGCTAATTTTTTGTATTTTTAGTAGAAATGGGGTTTCACCGTGTTAGCCAGGATGGTCTCAATCTCTTGACCTCGTGATCTGCCTGCCTTGGCCTCCCAAAGTTCTGGGATTACAGGCATGAGCCACCGTGCCCGGCTTTTTTTTTTTGAGACAGAGTGTCGCCCAGGCTACAGTGCAGTGGCGTGATCTCAGCTCACTGCAACCTCTGCCTCCCAGGTTCAAGTGATTCTCCTGCCTCAGCCTCCCAAGTAGCTGGGATGACAGGTGCATGCCACCACGCCCGGCTAATTTTTTGTATTTTTAGCAGAGATGGGGTTTCACCATGTTGGCCTCAAGTGATCTGCCTGCCTCAGCCTCCCAAAGTGCTGGGATTATAGGTGTGAGCTACCATGCCCAGCCAGTGAATGGTTATTTCTGAAGTGACTTTAGGAAAAGAATATGAATGTGTATATGGGAGGGACACTTGCCTTTCTGTGAGGCAGTTGGCAGTTTTCACCAGATTTAGGCTCACAGCCTGCTTCCACCTTGTGATTCAATCAGAATTTGGTTTTAGAAAATTTTCTTGAGAACTTTATTTGGCAAAAAAATCCTCCGAATGATTTAAACAGAACTGTATACTCTTCCTCTCTCTCCACGGGTGTATATGTGTGTATACATATAGATATTATACTAGCAATTTAGAAAATTTCCTGAGCCTCCTGTCTCCTTTCTACTTGTATTTTAACTAAAGGTTACGGAGAAATAGCCGAAGCAGTTTCAAAAGCCTGTCTCCAATAACATATCAGCAATTGAGGCTAGGAGGCAGTGTTCTCTTCCCACTTCCTGAGGCTTTTAAATATAATTATGCTAATTTTTGCCTTTGCCTCCTGATTCAACTGGAGTCTTTGAGTTCACCACTCAAAAGCTTTCCTTAACCAGAGTCACCTGATAAGATGAGTCAGAAGTCTGCAGAATCATCAGTTCCAATGACCAAAGCCTGACTGTTTCCCAGCCTCGAAAAGGATACAGCCTAGCAGTAATGTGTATCATGACTGGTAGAGGGACTGAGCCTGACGCTGAATGGCCTGGAAGTAACAGAGCAGTATTCAAACACTGGAGGGTTGGGGAGGGATCAGGAGGTGGAATGGGGGAGACACACTTGTAGTGTGGTAGTCCAATTTTTTGGTAGTCCAATGGGAGGAGAACATGAATTTGGTCCACAGCAAGCCAGACTGTATGTGTAATAAAGGAAGGACTGCATGGATCCTTTATCATATACTCCTCTCCTCCAGGCACCAGTTCCTATGCCAAATCCTGCCAAAGACAGAAATACACAAAAAGCTTGAAAGTGCTCAATCTGAGAGCAAGTTAAGCTGCAGGAAAGCAGCTGCAAAGAAGTATATTAAGACAGGGCACAGGGAAGAGGGAATCAAAGCAAGTGCCCCACTGTCACCCTCATTACTTTCCTGTTGCTACAGATAAGATGATAGCTGCACTCACACAGCAAAGCAGATGGCTGAGCAAGCTGAAGCTCAGACTTCAGAGTAAGTAGTCATCTTCAAGGTTATCATCACCAGACATGGAAGCAGCTTCTATTGAAGAGAAATAAGAAGGAGAAAGTTAGACACTGCCCTACTCTAGCAGGCACTGCCAGCGAGGCTCAAACGAAAAATAGACCTCTTGGTGCTCAATGACCTGACTAGGAACCAAGCCTTCAATTAACCTCCCTAGTCTGGAACGACTGAATGAGAAAAGTTAATCTCCAAAGATGCTCTAGGGAGGAAATACTGCTTGTACCTGATAAGCTGAGGCAGGACAGGGTATGTGTTATCTCTCCAGAGTTCTTTTTGGTCTCAGTGAGCAAGGTGCTGAGAGAGGCATCTGTTTCTGTGGCCTGAGTGGATGAAAACAGTAAAAACGGAGGAACATGTTGGCTTTTAGGAAAAAAGAGGCCACCTTTCATTCTTCTCATAGGACCTGGTTAAGGCAGTTGCATTTGGCTACCAAGAGGGACAAAATGCTCCTTTGGTCAACTACTGGAGGAGCTCAAAGTCCTCAGGAAAGCTAACACAGTATCAGGACTATAAGTCCTTAGTGTCTATGTGCTAGATTTGCCTGGAAGCAGCACCCTGTATAACTACAATGGCTCACCATGTCCTTCAACATGTCTGGGACAGCTCTGTTTTCTTCTATGTCTTCAGGAAGCTCAATTGCGTATCCTTTGTGTACTAATTCTAGCCCAATATCAAGTTTCTGAGAAGAAAAATGAAAAGGGAATGATGTTCTCTCAGTAAGCAAGGGCAAATTTGAGGAAACAAGGCAGAAGGACTGACACTTCAAAGACATTCCTTTGGTGAGATGGTGAGAAGGATCTTAAAAGTAAGAGTAATATCAGATAAGGGTTTCTGAGAAAGAAAAAGTAAATTAGGCCATAAATATACTAAAGATATGGTAAGCAGTGAGTGAATACCAGTCTTACCTTCCCATTGCTAGTATCATATAAGTAGATCTTTGGCCAAGTTGAGATCCCAGTCTGGACATAGCTAGAGATTTTGGCTACCAGAGGCTTCCAGTCAGCACAATGAGTGAGTCTATCAAACTCATCCAAAGCTTCCTCTTCCCATTGGTCACCTGGCAAAAGATTGTAGGGGTTACTGCTGATAGGGGTGGGGATTATACCCTGGAGGGAAGCTGGAACTACCCTTTTCTACTCAGGAAGGCACCTGTGTCTTCTCTGGTCGGGTTGGGTCCGCCAGGCAAGTTTCTGGCTGCTGCTAGTGTTGGTGAGGAAAAGGCACCTGACTCCCCAGAATTCAAAAAGCCTGGGAATGTGAGAATTCCTTCCAATGAACTGTATGAAAGTTATTCTATTTGGAGGTAAGCTCAAAAGGTGGCATGACCAATTTACCTGAGGGAGCGATCCGTGCCAGACTACATTCTATTGCTTGAAATGGAAGGCTTAGGAAGTCACTCCTGAAGTAAAAGAAACTAAAATTAGAATCCTGGGGCCAGAAACATCTTCTTCTATTGCTCTTTTAGAAAGAACCAACTAACATGAGACGATAACCATCTGCTCTCTGTAAACAGGTCCCCTTCTAAATCCCCCTGACAACTGCCAACAGCTCACCACTCTATGGCCAGAACTGAGTCAGTAGTTGGGATTCAGCTGACCTCAGCACTGACCTGAGAGCCCTGAGGTCCTTCAGTGGGCAATCTCCATTATCTCCAAAGTCAACAAAGTAGAGGTCCAAGTTCCCATTCTCCAAGATGCCAAGGACCCTGGCTCGATACCAGGAACCATTTGTAGGTAAAGGTGCTGCTACAATGTCTCCTACATGCACAGTCAAGTCTTCAGGCTATATGTGGGGAGGAGGAAAAAAGCAGAGTTACAAAGTGGTAGGCTCATAAACAGAATCACAGGTGGAAGAAAGAACAAGTAGCTACTCCACAGGGAAAGGAAGAGAGTACAATGAAAAAGATCTGCCTTCTTTTCATTAAACCCCAGCCCTGTCCCTATGGCAACTCACCACACTATTCTCATAGTGCTGGGTCATCTCGTTGACAAGCTTATCCAATTGCAGGCTGCGGGAGCCAACGATCTGGATCCAGAAGTGGTTAGGGTGTTCAGAAGCAGAGACGTAGACTTCTAGGTACTCATCAGCATGGAAACTGAAGTCAGGACTGGGGACTAAACACAGAGATAAGGATGGTGGCCACATTGGACCCATCTCTGGTTGGAATGAAGAGATTACACCAGGGCAGTGAGAAGTACAAATACCAATGGCTGTTACCACTTTAAAATGGCAGGAGAGGCAACTGGATGAATCAAACAAGAATATCCTAAAGAAAGATACTAAGCTATCCTTTGTACCTTTCCATGTAACTGAGTAATAACAGCTTACATTCTTTGTCATGTGCTACGTATTCAAATCAGTCACCAATTATAAAGAAGGTAAACCTCCATATGCTAGCTGCAGCATGGATCAGTAAAAAGATATGTGGACAGCAACCTTTACGTGGACAGCGACGGATGTGGGCCTGTTCCAGATCCCATTCTACCAATGACTGCTTATGTCACCCTGGACAAGTCTGTGAGCTTCTTGGGGACCCAGGTCCTCTTTGCCCACGCTAGCACCTATGTATAGAAGAGATAGCTCACAGCCTTTTCTTTTTCAATAGTGATGATTTTTAAAAACAATAATGAAACAGGCAATATAAAATCTGGCTGAGAATTTTACTTGTTGATAAAGTATGTCTAGGCTGGGCGTGGTGGCTCATGCCTGTAATCCCAGCACTTTGGGAGGCCAAGGAGGAAGGATCATTTGAGGCCAGGAGTTTGAGACCAGCCTGTCCAACATGGTGAAACCCCATCTCTACTAAAAAATACAAAAATCAGTCGGGTGTGATGGTGTGCATCTGTGGTCTCATCTATTCAGGAGGCTGAGGCATGAGAATCGCTTGAATCTGGGAATCAGAGGTTGCAGTGAGCTGAGATCACGCCACTGCACTCCAGCCTGGGAGACAGAGGAAGACTCTGTCTGGAAAAAAAAATAAAAGTATGTCTAGAGAAACAATATCAGGTAAATCCAATTATTTGATGTATTACTCATTTGTTTCCTGTGTCAGCATTTCGCCATTTTCATCAGCTGTTTTATATTTAGAAAAATATTTATGTTTAGTATTAATTCAACTAAAATATTATTACCAGAAAGGATTATCTCTGATGATAGACATAAGTGTATTCATGAAACAAGCTTTTTATTGCTATTTTGGGTAATCTAAGCCAGTATTTCTTTTTAAAAAAATATTTAATTTTTTTTTTTTTTTTTTTTTTGAGACAGGGTCTCACTGTCACCCAGGCTGGAGTGCAGCGGTGTAATCCCAGCTCACTGTAGCTTCGACCTCCTGGGCTCATGTGATTCTCCCATTTCAGCCTCTCAAGTAGCTGGGACCACAGGTTGCGCCACCACGCCCTAAGCCAGTATTTCTTTTTCTTTTTCTTTTTTTCTTTAGCAGAAAACCTAGGTTATTTGTTAAGCTGTTACAAAAACAAAACAATTACCATTTGAAGTACTTTTAGGACTTTATCCCAGACTCATTTGTTCTGTTACAGAAACTAACCTAGAAGGTTGGAAATTAAAGGATATAACCTAAGAGGTTATAACAGAGCAGGCTGGTAAAACATGGCAAAAGGAGCTCTCTCTTTCCCACCCTGTCTACTTATACCTCCAAGCTCCTGTGCATTCTCACCACGTAGGTCTGCTAGCTCATAAAAAATGCATACAGTGAAGGCAAGAATTATAGGCCTACTCAGAGGGTACCCAGACACAGAAAGTTTTGGGGCAAATAATAAACTACAAATATCCTCTTGGTTAATTCATCTTTGTTGATAAAGGTCACGTATCTATCTTTTGCTGGTGACAACTTATCTCAGTATAGTCTGTCTCAAGAAAGAAGTGGTTCAGGTTGGGTTTTGGAAAAGGAAGAAGACTTTCACCAACTTTGCTCCAGAGTGGAAGAGGCACCAAGTTCTCTCCTGCAATTAGGAGCAGAATCTTAAACCTGCATAAATCATTTTCAGTGATCAACATCTGTCTCCTCAAATGTCCAGCAACTATTGGTGTGGATTCTACCTCCATCCCATCTTCATAACATCTTACTGAATCTTCTGTCCTGACCCCAGCCATATTATACTGGCTGGTCACAGACTGAGAAAGCATTCCTTCTAATCTCTCCAATGTCTAAGCCAGTATTTCTATGTTCTATGATTAATGGGCTCCCTCTTTGTTACATACTTTCAAACATGGACATCTCTGGGATGGCCTGGGCTCCAGACTTCTGAAAGCTGTCATCACTAGGTTTCTCCCAGGAACCTTCCTTTGGCACCACCACAGTCATGTCGCCTCCTCCTTTGGGTGGAGGAGTCACCAGGGGTGCAGCCGGCTCCATGCTAGAACTGGTGTTTTTCCATAAAGCTGGCTCTCCAGCTCCACCTGGCTCTGTGATGTCTTCTCTTCTCACACTGATTGGCTGTTTGCGTGGGACTCTGGTTTCTGCAGAATGAGCAATTCTCTTTCGAAGTTCTTCATCTTCTGAAACTTTCTCCAGTATCAAATGCTGTGGAAAATAAGAGAAAGGCTGATACTCTGACCCGGGATAGAGTAAAAGGATCTTCTCATGCTCAGGTATAATTCAAGTCTATTAGCTACTTGCCTTGGCTGCTGCCACTTCCTTCTGTGTTCCTGAGATTTTTATAAGTCTTGATAGTAGTAATGTCCCTTCTGATTCTTTGTCACAGGTAATTTTGGCTCCAGAGGCCTTACAGATAGAACGAATCGTCTCGCCGCCTCTCCCTACATTAAACAATACATAAAAACCTGCCCTTCCCTCCTGGCCAACCTTAGCTACTGGAGAAAGCACTGTTTTGCATATACTAGGAGAAGAGAATCAGTTCTCATTTCTAAAGTGAACAAAAGTCAAGATGTTGAATGGAAAGCAGAAGCTACTGAAATTATTACTGTGAAAAGGAGAATACCATATTCTTTGTTTTTTCCATTTTATTTAAACTCTATACTTTGGCTAACTTCATGTCATTTTCATTTTGACCACTCAGCATGGCCATATCAGGTCATAAGATATGCTACATGGTGTGTCAGAACACTGGATCAAGGACAGGACATTTCTCTGCCTCTAACAGCAGCACTAAGCGATGCTCTAGGGGAAAGCATAAAAGGTACTCTCCAGAGCACTATCTTAAAAGACTTGAGATAACATGAGCATCCCGAGCTTCCCTTTAAAAATCAATTATAAGGTAAATATAATACATCTACCAGAACCCATAAAGAATCAATTTGTAAGGTTCAGATCACACAACTTTTTGAGGAAACAGGTTTGGTTTTACCACTAGTTCTGCAAACAGTAAACCTCTGGTCTCAATGCCCCGTTTTTCCCCCTCACATGGTAAAGGCGAACTAGGCCAGAAAAAATCCTTGGGAAGGTGTGAAAGAGAGGCAAAGGTAAAGAACAAAGGAAACAGTAGAGGAAGCCATCCAGTGGTACCTATGATTCTGCCCACAGATCTCTGGGGAACTGAAAGCTGCTCAGACACTGGGGTATTCTCTGTCAGGATCTGATGGATTGCTGCTTTGGCCTTGCACACCTGAACAGGAAAACCACTGATAAGCAGCACTCGCTCATCGCCTACATCCTCTGTGTCCACATCAATCCGAGCACCTGTCTGTTTCCGCAGCTGTAAAGAAAAGGACATTTGGCAGTACATTCTGGAAGAGTTCCCTTTTGAGCCCAGCTATAGACACTCTAAAACAAACCCTGGAGGTAGATAGAGTTAGCCAAAGGCATCAGCTAATGCTATCTATACAACCAATCCTCAGTTACTTTATATACAACCTCAGTTGTTACTGTCTATACAACCAGTCCTCACCTTATGGAAGGAAATTAGCAACAAATATAACCCCAAATAGCAGTGAATTCAAACCCATTTATCTTTGTGTTTAGAATCCTTTCCCCTCACTAATTTTATTTGGATTAGAGAATCAAATATTTTGTTTTCTTGACATTTCAGCTGAACAATGGAAGATGGTAAGAAGAACCAGGTAGTCATTCAATATTTACTGTCAATTAATGAGAGTTCATTAATTCCACAGTAGAAAAGGATAATTTGGCCAGGCACGGTGGCTCATGCCTGTAATCCCAGCACTTTGGGAGGCCAAGGCGGGTGGATCATTAGGTCAGGAGATAGAGACCATCCTGGCTAACACAGTGAAACCCTGTCTCTACTAA